GGCCGCGGCGGGGCCGGCTGCGCCCGGGAGGGGTGCGGGCTCCCGGGAAGTGGGGAGGGCCCCGGAGCTCTGCGGGAGCGCTGTGCGCGCTTCTTTCCTCATATTTACTACACGGCGATTTTTAAAACCCGTGGGTTGTGCTTTAACTTTTTTAAATATCCGACGCTGTGAATGACCTTCTCCCGTTATATTAGCGGAGTCACGTGCGCGTTTTGTGTACAGTCTCGCCCATTGTTAGAACCCGACGGAGACGTCTCGGGCATTCTTTATACTGTACGTCCTGCGTTTTTTTCAGCAGTCTCCATCTTAACCGCCCGTCTGTCGTCGCACGTCGTTTTTGTGGAACTTGACTTGTTTTCCTTCGGAAATTAAGATTTAAGTCACCTCTCTTAAGTTGCCGAACGAGCAGCAGTCTGCTTGCGGTGGTTCTGCAGTCTTTTATTGAAGTTCTAAACTTGCATTTAGAAAAATGTTTCTGGGTTCTTTTGGGAGGACTGTCCTTTACTTTCATTTTGAGGGGTCTTGAAGGGGAGATAAAATTATTCTCCAGCTTCCAGTTCCATACTCCTGAATAATTACCCTGACGTCAGTAAGTATTTGTACATCTGCAGCAAGAACTATGCTCAGCATGTGGGGATACAAGGATGAAAAAGAAAGACCGTGCCTCGGGGATACCATTTTAGTGGAAGGTTTTTTCTTTTAAGCCAATTCATATTACAACTGGAACAATAGAATATAGCATATTCTCCAGTGTTCATTCACATACTTAAACCTGTATTGACAGTCACGATTTTATTGATCATAAGATGACAAGGAGGTGTTTATATTTGGGATATTTTTCTGGAACCTTGCTAAAGAAATCACAAGAGTGCTAAAGCAACTGATTACTTCTGTTTAATTAAAATAGCCGTTCCCCATCAGCGTTTGTCATTTAGAACATTTCTATAAGAGGGGGAGAGAAAAAGCAGAGGGGGAAAAAATACAGTAGTGATAGTGTTAGAAAAACTGCTTTATCAAGAGGGTAGAAGATGCCAGAGGACAACTTTGAGAAAGTAACAAAAGGGGGAATCAAGCAAGGACCACGAAACAGACAAGGAAGCAGAATAAAATAAGGGAAAACAAGTTATTAAAATTCCCACGTTAGGTGATTTTGAGGTGAAGTAACATGATCTGATGACTTGATATTTGAGGAGTATTTTGGTGTCCATCTGGCAACCTAGTCTTATGTTTGAGAGAAATGGAATTCTGTTACTTTGAGTTATTAAACCCATTATTTTATTAATCATAATAGCTAATATTTAGTTAGTTCTTAGTATGGGACAGGCTCTATGCTAAATGGATTATTGCATTTATCCTTAAAACAGCCCTCTGACATAGATGCCCTTGTTAATCTTCCACTGTGATAGAGAAACCAAGTCTTAGGAAAGCTTAGTCCCTTGTCAAAAGTCAGACAGCTAGGATTTTAACCCACATGGTCGGACTCTACTGCCCATAGACTTAACCAGTATATATCTAGCCTTGTGTAACAGTGCTTCCCAGTCTGCCAAGAATGGGTGGCAGATGTGTCAAGATAGCTGTGCCTGACGTGGCTGGAGGCTCCCGTGGCCAGGGCCAAGTAACATCCTGCCAAGAGCAGTTTCGCCCAGTTACCAAAGTGTGCTGCTATATAAATGTGTTTTTCTGTGCATTCCATGATGGGGGAAAAAAAGGGTTAGTTATGCGCCAGTGTGACCCCACATAATATTACAGTTCCAGTCTCGTGAATAATTCTTATAAAATACCCAGCATGTTTTTTTAATCTTCCTTAAATCTTTTTTTGTTGTTATGCAGTAGAATATGAAATATAATGTTTATTTCATTTCTTCTGTCATTAATAGTACTATTAGAAACATAATTGCTAACATAAAAGGTCATTTTCTAATTTAAGACCCTTCTTACATGAGGGGAATTATTTTGACTAACCAGCTTTTTCTTTATAGTTTCTTGCAGAACATAAATTATTAGGAAACATTAAAAATGTGGCTAAGACAGCTAACAAGGACCATTTGGTTACAGCCTATAATCATCTTTTTGAAAGCAAGGTGAGTATTGTTATTTATTACCAGAGTATTTTTACCAGAACATCATTTTAGATATTTTATTCCCAAAAAGAAGTTTTAAATGCCTTTATTTGCAGAATACATAGGAGTTTTTCTTAACTAGCTGTCAAATCTGGTGAGGCTAATCTGCAGCATGGCAGCATGTTAAATTGTGACAACAAATTCTTAAGGGCACTGAAAAAGTTATAAATCCAAAGTAAGTTCCATTTCATTAATGAATTTAAAATCTGGGCTGGACTTAGGCTGAGCCTTAAGAAAAACAGATTTTAAGAAATTCCCCAATATTTGTTACTATGAAATGACCGTCTTCCACAGAAAAGAATCTTAATAAAGATGGTTTGAGGGTCATAATTTGTTGAAATGCTTAACGTAAGAGTCTTGGTTTGTCCTTGGGCAGTTCCGTTTGTTTACACGTGAGTTACATAGCCTGTATTCACAGTGCAGATAGTCATTTCACTGAGAGGCTTTCGGCCTGTCCCAAATATGATAAACGTGAGAACGTTTTCCTTGCAGCGTTTCAAAGGTACCGAAAGTGTAAGTAAAGTGTCCGAGCAGGTGAAAAATGTGAAGCTTACTGAAGATAAACCCAAAGAAACCAAGTCTGAAGAGACTCTGGATGAGGTTTGTAGATCATATTTTCTTATTCTGTTTTTTGTGTGAATTTGACGAAGGCATTTGCTTACAGCACTGATTTCCCATGGTGAGGGTAGTTGAGTATGGCCACCTTCAGTGAGCCAAACACTGGTTTGGAGGTGTCATCTCCCGCAGGTGTATGAATCAGGAAAAAAGCCTGAGAAACCAGTAGTTTACAGTTAGTAAACTTTTCCTGTGAAAAACCTCTAGCTTTGTATTTTATATGGCCTCTACGTCTGGCCAGACCTGAGCTTTCAAAGCTATCAAAGTCCTGATTTTATAGCAAAGGTGGACTGAGTGAAAGAAACTTCATTTTGATTATTTTTTCTACTATACATGGTGTCCTTAGCAATGGGAATATTTGGTCCAGGCCTGGCTGCGGGGTGTGGGTTTATCTGTTTCATCTTTCCCAGCCCAAGTTTGATATTTTGGTACAAAGGCTTGAAGAAGCAAATAAAACCATTTCTGCAAATGGACAGCCTTAGTAGAGCTGA